TGTGCTAGGCTCTGTGTTGAGCATTTAAAAACATACTTTCCCCCTCACCTAATCTTTACAAGAACCTCATGAGATGGGGACTATTATCATATCATCTGATGGGTGAGAAAGAAACCAAGACTCAGAGGGGCCAACAATTTGTCCCAGATGATAAAGTAGCAAGTCAGGACTAGAACTCAGGTTTGTCATATTGATAACATAATTGATAAAAGCAGCAGCTATTGATTGAGTGCTTATCATGTGTCAGAGACTGCTTTTTAAAAACTTCGACATAATTTGAGATTTACAATGGGCATTGTTCTTTTAGTGCTCACAGTAACCCTATGGAGAAGGTCCTAAGACTTAGAGAAAGTAAGTAATGTCGACAAGGGCATACAGACGGGAAGGGATAGAGTTAGGATTTGAATGCAGGTCTCTTTGACTCCAAGACTTATTTTTTTAAAGCTGAGGCTTTGCTGACTCCTGCTCTGCCTGTAAACCCATGCTTCCCAGACCAGCAGCACTGGCATCACCTGGGAGCTTGTTATGTGGGATCCAAGTCCTGCCGCAGACCTACTGAATCAGAAGTGTGTTTTAACAAGATGCCTACACAATTCTTGAGCGCATTAAAGTTTGAGAAGCACTGAATTGCAACACCGTCAGCAATATACCGAATAAATACAGAAGAGAGCAAGATGGTCTAGAACAGGGATTCTCAACTGATTTTCCCCCTTGGAAATCAGTTTTGAGCTAGAAGAAGGTATGTTCTGCTGCTAAACTTGATAATGGTGATCTTTTCCCAATTCATAGGAAAAATATAGTTAACAAATTGTATCACCTCTTTTTCTCCCCCACAATTTTTTCTCTTCTTTGGAGCCAACTTTGACTTGCCTGTTAGTGATAACTTTAGAAGATAGTTATTTTGAATAGTAGTAAAATACCTATGGAAAAATCAGAAGTGTTTAATTGTATTTTTTTTTCTTTAATTTGTGGGTTTCTTAATTCTCGGATTTGTGGTTGTGATTTTATGTTTCATAATGGAGAATAGGCATACTTTCTATTAGTAAACTTGTCTCTAATTCACATGGCAGAATTCAATGTTAATGTATTTTGTTGTTCCACAAAAAAACACCTGATTCCCACCTACATGGACATGAGGACCAAGGCTTCAGAATCTCTCTAGAAATCATCTAACGAAGAGGAACTTGTCAAAGAAAAGTCAAGTTAGAAAGACTAACATATTTCTCCCCTATCCCTCTTCCTCCGATGAGGACAACATTAATATATACAAATGTAACCTACTGATTCTTTCTGGGTAGTAGAAACATCCATGGTCTTTATTTTCTCCCCTGTGCTTTCCTGAATATTAAAAAATGCTACAGTGAGCATTCATTCATTCAACAGATATCTGATGAACACCTACTAAGTGACAGGCACTGTTCAGGCACTGGAGATACAGCAGTGAGCAAGCCGGACAAAAATCTCTTGTTCTGGTGTGAGGATCTTTGGGCTTTTTCTCTTGGGCTGGTCAGATACCTTGAAGAAGACACTCAAACATCTGGCAGCCAGAGATCTAGGAACTCAGTAGAGGAAGAGGGCTGAGAATCTTAGCATCTAATATGCGCAAATTCAACTTAATCTCCTTGTTTATAAAGAGACCTCCTATTTAAGCCTCTCTGGGGAATGAAGACTACAGTCTTCTTTTGGGAGGAGTGGGGACAGTTAAAGAAGGGAGAGGTGACCTGGAGATCTAATTGATCTTAAACAACTTGCAAAATGCTTGTTTCAATCCCTGCCCAGGGTACACCCTGCACATGGCAGCCCTGCTGGCCTATATGCCCACAGTAGGCAGCGGGGTACCTACTGCTGAGACTCGAGGGATTCTGCAGTATTCACCAGGTTAGGTCCCAGCCTTTCCTTTCTTTTAAGTTTTCACAAGCAGAAAGAAGACAGATGGGCTCTCCGGTTTCTCCCACTTTGGGTTTGAGGGTCCAGGTTTCCCCAGGATGGTAACTTAGCTAATACTTGTCCATTTGCTTTTCAGCTTCTATTTTTTGTGTTGTTTTTGTGTTAGTACTGGCTCCTCTCATCGTTGTGGGGTGATGCTTTTAAAACTCCAGTTACTGTCATTTTAGTGGTGTTCTAGGAGAGCAAAAGTAGATCATCTTCATTAACTGCTTAACTGCCATCACTTTCTGGAAACACTTTCCTATACTAACTAAATCTTCTCTTGCTATCATTCAAACCCTTATTCTCACCTATTTGTCCATAGAATAACTAAGGACAGCTTAGGATAGCTGCATAAAATATGTATTTTCACTTGTAGGTGATTGTGGTTTAGAAAGCATTCATTGTCTTTCACATCCGTTGAGACTTTAAAAAACACAAAACAAATGACCACTTTCCTCAGCAGATCAAAACTGGGGATGAGCCCTGGCCAGTGTGGCTCAGTTGGTTGGAGTGCCGTCCGGTACACTAAAAGGTGCTGGGCTCGATTCCCGCTGAGGGCACATACCCGGCTGCAGGTTTGATCCCCAGTTGGGGCGAGTGCGGGAGGCGACCAAGTGATGTTTTTCTCTCACATCGATGTTTCTGTCTCTCTCTTCCTTCCTCTCTCTAAGATCAATCTTAACAAATGGGGCTGAGACATACTCATACTCATACATATTAAGAATTATGTATGTAGGTTAGTTACTGCAGCATTGTTTGTAACACTAAAAGACTACAAAATACCTAATGGTCCATCAGTAGAGGACTTGTTAAATAAACATCCCAATCCACATGGTAGTATGTTGTACAGTTAAAAAGAATAATCTTTCTCTCTGTCTCTCTTCCTCTCTCTGAAATAATTTTTTTTTTTTTTTAAAGAAGGGGGCAGATCTTTATGTTCTGGTGTGGAAGAGTCTATAAGGGCAGAATAGAATCAGTATAGTAGTCTATCACTTGTGTTTAAAAATACATATCTATATATATCTATATCTGTAACAGTAGTTACCCCCTGCAAGGGAACTAAGTGACTGGGAGGCAGGAAGTAGAAGGGAGACTTAGTTTTTCCTATGTACCATTTGCACCATTTGAATTTCATATCACAATCTTATTTATTTAAACAATAAATATAGCCTGGCCAGCGTGGCTCAGCAGTTGAGCATCAACCTAGGATCCATGAGATCACGGTTCAATTCCAGGTCAGGGCACATGCCCGGGTTGCAGGCTCGATCCCCTGCGCGGGGCCTGCAAGAGGCGGCTGATCAATGACTCTCTCATCACTGATGTTTCTCTCTTTCCCTCTCCCTTCCTCTCTCTGAAATCAATTAAAATAAATAAATAAATATAAAGTCCTAATGAATAGTCTTTAAAAGGATGAGCTTCATGACCCTTACCTGACACAGTGCCCCCCTGATTACTTTCGCCTATCCAAATTTTCCTCTGCCTTCAATAGATATTAATTTCTTGTTCCTTTTCTGGACAATTTCAGCCCAAGTACTCTCTAGAAATTGCTGTGTGCGGCAAGTCATCGTACATTGCTTTGTTACAGTGCTGCTGCTTCATTTTTAAGAATAGTATCAACCATCTTGTATCAAACTTTCCATTTTGTATTTTCCTTTTTGTCTCACTGAGCCTTTTATGGGTTGCGTGGGGGTCTTGGAAAGATGAGGAGTGGCCAGCGAAGAAAATGTGAGCATGTAAAAGAGTGTACATGAAAGGAGCTTGAGGCTTCCTCTTCACCCAGACCCTTCAAAGGCATTTACCAAGTAGACATTCACGTGAACCAGAGACCACTTTTTATAATTTGCTGAAAAGGTAAAGCCTTCACATTTCACATTGAACTAATCCAATTATCATAACATTACTTAGCTGAGAGCACTTGCACTGAAGGGATGAGATGCTGCGAGACCGAAACAAAGATTTTAAAGCAAGACTCAAAATTTTAGAGCCCAAAGGGTTTTAAGATCAACTAGTCGAAACCCTTACTTCATAGGTCCCAAGGCAAGGGACTGGGGGAGTTTGGACTCAAACTCAAGTCTCCTTCTAAGCTCAGTTGAGTAACTACGCTGTTCAGGCTGTCAGAGAAGTCTGGCTTGCGTGAAATATGGGGTCTTTCCACATCCAGAAAGACAGCAGGGCTCTGTGCCTGGAGAAGAGGGGAGAGCAGGCAGGAGGAGAAAAAGAGTTGGTTGTCAAGTTTTGTTTCCTCTGTAATTGTGTCCAGGGCTCCTAGACAGCCTGTGTGAATAAGTGTTCTATTTTAGCAGAAGCCAAGTTAAGAGAATTAGAACCTGCTTGGAAGGCTACAAACCTCAACTTCCCCTTAACCAGCTCTCTACCTCAAGAAACTAAATGAACTTCAGTTTAAAGCTCTTTTAAACACCCTTTCACACACACCCCTTTTCCACACCTGGAGAAGGGAAGTCAGAAAAGGAGGGCGAAATACAAACACGAGGGATTTCCCTACGTCCGGGGTAGTTTTAGCCAGTTGCCTAGTATCTTCCGTACCTAGAAATTCAGAGCCATTAGGGTAGCCACGGAGATATTACTGGCCTCTGTCTTGTTTCCTTTTCTTTGCGTTTAAAATCTTTCGCTCTGATTTCTGCAAGGCACCCCCTTCTGCGGGCGTCCGGGTTCTGCAGCTCCTCTCTGCTCAGAGACACTTTTGCAGGGAGTAAGACGTTTATAAGCGAGGAGAGCACGTAAGCACAGGGTCGGGTGAGGTTTGTACCAAAAGGAGATGAGTCCCATTCACAATCTCCGGGTTTGGACTACAAGTCCCAGGAGACACCGCAGCCACGGCGCGTTCCAATGATCCTTCCCTCACTCTCCTGGATGGTGGAGATAAAGGTTCCGTTCGCGGCGCACTGCAGTATGGCCTGTTTTTAACCGGGGTGACGGAGTCGGGAGCCCGGCCGATTGCAGGCGGGGGCGTTAGGAGGCAGATTCCTCCTCCCTCCAGCACTGGGGGGCGGGGAGGAGGGAAGCCTGCCAGCGGGCTGGGGACGCAGTCCCGAAGCCAGCGGGCCGAGGAGATGGAGGGCGACGGGGTCCGGTGGGGGGACGAGCCGGTGTCGGGTCCCGGCCCGGGAGGCGGCGGGATGACCCGGGACCTGTGCCGCAGCTTCGGCCGCTACCGCCGCTACCTGGGCCGGCTGCGGCAGAACCTGCGAGAAACCCAGAAGTTCTTCCGCGACCTCCAGGGCTCGCACAGCCACAGTTGTCCCTCCTCCCCCACGGGCGGCGGCGGGGCCCAGCGCGCCCCTG